ATTGGATTATTTTTAACACATCAGTCGTGTGGGATGCGTGTGTCGTCAATTGCCCATGCAAGGGTGACTTTTACCAACACCATAAAACAAACGAAAATCTACTTGATTATCAACAAAAAATTAACGCTTTACTTAAGTCAGGCGGCATTGTAATCGAAAGAAAGCCCACTTTAATGTTAGCATAAAATAACAATACACCTCCCTTTGGATTGTTTGAGTTGTGTCTCCTACGCGATGGAAATATGCTCTCGCGAGTACAAACCGAGTGCCTTTGCTGCCCCTTGCAACGCTAACTTCACGCCACACTTAAAAACACTTTSGCACAGYCGTAATAATGTCGAAGTGAGAATTGTCTTATAGTAAAGTTAAGTACGGTTTCCACATGACTTACTTTTGAACAATACATTCAATCAGTTAAGTTACTTGAAATGAATTCTAGAATTCATGATCGGTTGTAAATTTCAATGTTCGGAATCTCGATTAAACGTTCGATTATGAATTTTGATGAGATGTTGTGCAGATTCAGATGTACAAACCTGTCAGTTGTATAAATTGCCAAAGTTAGTTCTTTTTATGTGAAGTTTTTAATTGATATAGGATAAAATAAAGAACAAAATAATGTTTGTTGACAATCGTAAGCTCTGACTGACATATTGAAGAAAGACGCCATAACCTTTGGAAACTTTTTCTAAATCGTTTCAAAATTTAAATGTGGATTTKGCAAGCTATGAACAAGCTTCATTTAATAGCCGTTAAAAACCTGAATGTTCAATGGCATCAATATGATTGAATTTCTTGAAATTTTTATTTATTCAGTGGTAAGTTTAAAAATCTCTGGTTAAAATTTGAACAGTCTTTCGAAAGTGGACATCAAAAAAATCCCCCACGTCTTTTCGAGGCTATTAAAAATAAAACCACAACTCTCGAAGACAAGTTCTATTTATTCAACACGACCTTACGAGAACAATAAAGGACGCCAGACCCTTTTGTCAGGGTACTGTAGCAAACTCTGCAAGTCGGAGGGCTGWGCAACGGATTTCAAAATACCAGCAAAACTCTAAAATGACACGCGAACAACTTGACGTAATAGAAAATAARTTAACTAAAAATACCTTTGGATGGCAGCTTGAGGAGTTTCGTAGAGCGATTTGATGAAGATTTTGCAATAGTAGAAGATGTTAGTCGTTTGTCTATGTCTTACGGATTCTTGGCTATGCATCAGACACAGAAGATTTCTCGACTTATTTTCGTAGAATTCGTCGCTTCAAATTTAGAATAATAATCTCCTTGAATGGGAAATTATTACTTGTATGTATACCATTTGGTGTTTGCTTTTTCACTTGCTTTTGCGCCTTTTTTCGACGTAAAATAGGGCGATATTATAAGCAACGTTCCTTTGGCGGTAGTGAACTCCGTACGTAATTCAAACAGTTCAGTCACGTGACTTTTACGCAACCATCCGTATCCTAGAATCACGTTCGTCAAAAAAGGGATTTTTTCTTTCTTTTTTTTTCTTTTCAAAAGACAAATTTCTAAATATGGATATATTGTTTAAAACACTTTGATTTTAATACTAGTAGCATTTTTGAATTTAATTCAACACCAAAAATTAATGGCAATTGATGTTTTAAAGTTGGAGATTTATTATAAATAARACTGTTATTTTTAAATTATAACTGTTAGAATTATATGAATGTCGTTAATCATCATAAAAGAAGGAAAAAAGTTAAATTTCTAATCATGTTCATTACTTTTTTCTACTTCAGCATATTTTCGCTTTTGCTTTTGCTTTAACTGCAAAATCACGAAAAATACAAAAGATGAAACATCTAGAAAGGAAGAGAAAATCTCGGTTACCAGGGGCATCGACGTCCTACTATCATCTTCCTGTGAAATCATTACATACTTCCGGTGACGTCATTAGGATKGGTGAGTCGACCGATGACTAACTGCAACGCGACTGGCAGATGCGATTGTCTTTCAACTAATATGGGAAATCCTAATATGGGAAACTCTTAGCTTATCCATTATATAAAGAATAAGCTGGATTTTGATTAATCAAAGATGGGATGACACAGAAACAGATCACCTCCACCTCAACTTCAAAAGACTGTAAAGATGCAGGGGGGGTACTTCCCTATTCGCTATACGGGGACGTGCCGCTAACCAGGGTATCGTTTTCAGCGATCTTACTCTGGAACAGGGCATTGATTTCCACGATTTTTCTCTAGAACAGGGTATCGATTTCCACGATTTTTCTCTGGAACAGGGTCAGGGTTTTAATTTCGGAATTATCGATGCTGGGTAAAAATTGCGAAAAAAAGCCGTGTCCGTTTTTGTGACGAAAGGCCTTATGGTGCCTCTCGTCACTGATCATCGCTCGAGTGACTGACGTAACCTTCAACTTGTAGCAGGCTTTCCTTGCGAGTCCTTGATAT